AGGGACGGGGCCCGACATATCCGGACGGACCACCTCCGAAAATTCCTGGGATCTTTCGATCCCAGGTCCCACAGAGTGGTAGGCTGCCACTTTAACGGCTCGGCCATCCGGCCGTTTCTCGCGATGGCTTTTAATTATGTTCACGAATTTTGCTAGGTTGACCATATCGCTCATGGGCTGCAATAGTGGCACAACTCAAAAAATACGACTTTTAAGTTAATGCACTCTCCACAATTGCAGATTGGTCTTCCTTCCAGCAGCAAAAGTGGCATATCTTATAGTACAGTATTCCACCAAAATATGACAGAAGTGTCACTGTTGCATGCTCTGATTTGTTATTTACATTGGCTGCAATATTGACACTTCTCAAGTCCAAATTGTCCACCTACAACTTCACAATTTGTGATTTAAAAAAAGATGGGCTGGATGATGTCTATTGCTACCTATGGCATGAAGGTGATGGAAAGAAAGGTGCTACTGACATTGGAACATGCTTTTAAAATTTTTAGAAGAAAAAGCTGCTGCATGCAAAACAAATGAATTAGAAATAACACTGTATTCAGACAATTGCTGCGGACAGCAAAAAATAAATACATTGTTGCCTGTTACTTGTATGCCATGTCAAGATTTCAAATTAAAAGGATAACACACAAATTTCTCATTGTGGGACACACACAAAACAAAGGTGATTGTGTTCACTCTGTAATAAAAAAAACTATTCGACAATCATTGAAACCAGGTCCAATCTACATTCCATTGCAATGTGCAACGTTAATTAGGATGCAAGAAAAAAAGGCAAACCTTTCCAACTGTTCGAAAAGGGATACAATGACTTTGTTGACATAAAGGATCTCACAGATAGGACATCTCATAATTTTGTTGTGAACATTGATAATGATAAAGTCCTCTTCAATAACATTTCTGTATTGAAAGTAGAAAACCAATCATTGGATTGCTTTTTCTACAAAACTTCTTTTAAAGAAACAGACTTTAAAACTATAAACATCAAAACCTGAAGATCCAGAAAAAGTTTGCAGTTTTTTCAGGAAGTAACACTGAAAAAAGCATACAGCAAACCTCTTCCAATATCTAAGAAGAAATTCAACAATTTACAAAGTTTGATCGCCAGCAATGCAGTACCAAGATGTTATTCAACATTTTACAACAACCTAACATTTGAATCATAAGAATAGGTTTCACTTTGAAACTTTCATAAAGTTATGGATTTCCGTGGTACTGTTTCTTGTTTACATTGTGTTGATTAATAATGTAGTATTGGAACATTCATGTATGAATAATTCGTTTACATCATTAATAAAACTTACGTTTTTGCCTGTACACTCGCTTCATTAGCCACCAACCTCCAGGATAGTCCAACATAATGTATTAGAAACATTCAGCAATAGTGGCACATCTCAAAACATCGGTCCTGGGAACAACAAGGAGGGTGAGGGGTACAATTTCTTATGATATTATTATTAATTTAACCCTTACAGAGCCATTTAGTACAGTTTAACACTTATCCCATCAATGAATCCTGTGAATGATGCATTTCAATACAAGGTGAAACTTCAAACTCATTTATCTCAAAACTTAATTTTTGGAGTTGTGCCACTATTACAGCCCATGAGCAATATGGATGATGAGTTTTTCTTATGAGAAATAAGGCCCGACATATCCTAGGCAGACTGCCCATGAAAAATCCTGGGTAGCTTGCTCAGATTCAATTTCGCACCCTCCAGAGCGGCAGCTGATGCTTCAATCATTCTTCCGTCAAAATCGAATATTTAAAAATATCAGGATTTTTTTCTTCAATTTGCTCTTCATATCATGAAAGCCTTCATGGAAAGGAGTTTATACAAATTACTAGTTCAAAATTCATAATTACAAAATTTTATTTACAGAATTAACAATATTAGCATTAAAATATTTTTATCAAATTCAACCTGAGAGATTGTTAAATGTTTGGAAAAATTGTACAAAAGTTTAGTTCAAAATTGTCTTTAGAAAGAACTAAAACTAGTATCATCATAAACAGCAGAATTTCACACCTATAAATGATTGAAGTTTTTGTAATAGATTTAAAAATATATTGCCTAATAACACTTTCATCTATGAAAAACGACTACATAATAAACAAGAAATAACTCTGATGTGTTTAAAAACTGTCCTGTGCATGAGACACTATGTGTAAGTCCTGTATATCGTGGTCCTGTGTAGTGGATTGTTATAGCTTCATGGGGAAAATTTGAATTTGGTGGTCCATGTACTGTACAGTGTTGACTTCAGACATTTTTCTTCAGGGAAAGTTTCTGGTTAAAATTTCTGAGATCCTTACCAGCAGTCAAGGGTCCCCAGATACGTCGCCAAATTTAAATTTCAATATTTTTACTACAGTAATGAGCTTATAAAAGATTGGTTTGTGGCCTCAGGCAATTGTCCTTTTTGCCACTGGTCCTGTGTGAAAATAAAGATTATCATTACGAATACTGCATTGTTATTGTAGCAGAAACTGTCAGTGTTGGTCATTTATGGATAGCCGATATTGCTAAAATTGTTGTATTTTATTATTAGTCGTTATTGTTAATCTCTTACTAATTTATAAATTAAACTTTATCATAAGTTTCATTTACGGTTTCAGGTATCCATTGGTGCATCTTGGAATGCATCCCCTGCAGAAAATGGGACCACAGTTCTTCAGGTCAGAAAGTTAACAGTAACCATTAATTGGTTTTCTCAAAGAGTTTAGTATTGGCTTGTTGTTAAATTGTTGCTTTTGCTGTGAAAGTGCTGCAATCTCTACTGAAGGTCTTTTAACAACATACATGGAGCAGTGCTGCACCTCCAAAATGGCAGATCTGTGTGCAAGTGTTGGAATGTTTTGCATTGAGGGTAACAATATAATTGTTTTAAATTTTTACTAATCCAGTACTTCTTTCAAAAAACTACATTATGTCCTTTCAATAAAAACAAATTTGTATTTATTTTCATGATTTGTGATTCACTTTATATTTATTAATCTATCCCACTAAGTGTACTACTTGCTTCATTTATAAATTATACTATTACATTGTTTTGTAAAAAATAATTACTTAATAAATTATCATCAACAAAATATAAAAATAAAAATAATTTATTTGGCAATTATAAACTATAAACTGCCAATATAAACTATTACCTACACTTTATTTTTAATAAAATATAAATATTTTATAAGTTGAATTTATATATGAAGAGTCAAGATTAATAAATTTTCTAAAAATAATTTAAAAATAACAAATAATTAATAAAAATAATTTTCAATAATTTTTTTTAAATCTCACAATTATGGATTGGGTTATAATATTAATTAATCCAGAAATACATTATAAATTTAGAAAAACATTTTAACATATTTTTCAAATCTCAATGTGAATAGCAACGTTTCTTCCAATTGACAAGGACTAAGCAGACAAGAATATCATAATAATTAATTTTTTATCTGTTATGATTAATAATTTGAAGAATACTAAAAATATTTAAAATTTATATAATCTTAACATGCAAGTATTTAAATTAATAAAAAATAATGTATTTTTAAAAATATAACTTTATACTTTTAAGATCTAAAATTTGAAATTAATGTTTATACTGTATTACATGAAATGAGCTGTGTTTAAACTAGATTATCTTTAAATAATCTAATTCAGATATACACCCCACATATATAGTAGAGAGCACTTAACACTTCCATAAGATTCCTATAAGTGGAGTACAAAATGGGATACAATAAGTGGGTACCAAAACTAATGGATTTGGTACCCAAAAATGGGCTACAAAGCTGAAAATACTAAGGTCTAAGTGAAATTTTTCAATTTAATTTGCAAAAAGTGGAGAAATATATATATATATATAT